CCACCATTTCACACAAATGTTCACTTCAGCACCTCTGATAAAGTGCAGCTCACAGCTGCTTTAGAGGGAATGAAGCATCCTGGAGCAGAGAGACAGTCAAACAGAGCAAAGTGTCTCTGACACAGAGAACAGGTGTATCATGTTACCCTCTCACTACTTTGCAGCGACTGTTACCCGTTTGTGTAGCATATACACTGACTAGACACTGACCGGCAACATTTCTATTTAAATGTATTGATTACAATTTTGCTATGGACAATTCAGAAGTCCGGATAAAGCCCTGAAGCTGTGAGCAATGCGCTCTCTCTCTCTCTCTCTCTCTCTCTCTCTCTCTCTCTCTCGTGCTCCCTCTAAACGCAGGCAGGCTGAGTAACGATGGGGGGTCACGTTAAGTGAACTTTAAACAAAATGTAGCAATATTATTTCCAGTAGCCTCTGCTCTTTGCAGACCTGCGAGAGAGGCTGCATCATGAAGATTATTGCTTATTAACATGGAAATATTTTTGTTGCTGTTGTTGAGTTACATTGGGGGCTACAGTCAAAGCTTTTGGGGCTAAAGCCCTGGAAAAATGACCTGGCGACGCCGATGGTTCTATTTAGTATAGGCTTCGCCAGAGCTGGATTGGTAATCTGGCCGACGCACCTTTGTGGCCGGTGTAAGTAAATTATGTAACTGTTTTGTTTTTTTGTTTTTTTTTAATGGGCCAACGATCGGCCCATAAACCATGGACAGCGACCCATTGGGTAATTTCCTATACTGACACTGGCCGGCCCAATCACATCTCTTACCAGCCCCCTCTGCTCTCTGTTTCTTGCCTTATATAATATTTAGTTATAATAAATAGTTTTACTAAACTACCACTACAGCAGCAATTTAAGATTAAATCTGACGGAAGACCAACGCCAAAACTGGAGCTGGGCGTGTAGAGAAAAAAGGGACGTTCTGGACGTTCAATGAGGAAAACTAGATCCATACAGTGTGGCTAGCTAGTAGCGCCAAACTTCGACTGCCTGTTGTTGCAGAGGACGAAAAAGCCAGTGGGAAATTCTTTAACTTGGTTATTGACCACTTCGCCACCATGACAGAGAGGAGAATGGTCTTCCTTTTCAAATAGGGTGAGGAAAATGTCATAACTCCTTCTCTCGGTAAGCATGGAGTAGCTCAGCCTGTAGGGAAGGGAGGGTCATTTACAGTGGGGACGCTGGGGACATGTAGGCTACCCACCACTTTTTGAAAGCATTTGTTAAAAATGTTCTGAAAAATAGCTTACACCAAGAAATGTTAATTAACAAATAAAAATGCTATGAAAAAGGTTTATTTGCACAATAAGCCTGCAATACAATGTAAATATAGAAAAAAACTCTAATATACTTTAAACTTTAATATATTCTTGTCATATCATGGCCCCAATCTTGTGCAATGTTACGTCTCATGCGCTAAGTGTTTCGTCACATCCCTAATCTGATGGAGTATTGGTGAGGGGTCTCTGACTCATTTTGGTGGGCCAAAAATGCCAGGGCCGATCTTTTGTCCCAGTCCAGCCCTGGGCTTCGCCCTCTAAGGCTATCGCTAGTGGGTTCATTTCTCGTGCACATGAGATGCACTGAAAGCTGTGCACTACTAACGGGGTACTATCTGCTTCCGCCTCTCTCCCAGTGATCAGTGGGCTCCTCCGGGAGCTCTCGTCGTCATTCATAAAGCGGCCGCTTGGCCCAGTAGCACGCTCCGCAGGATGAAATGGCCGGGGTGTTGGCCGTTAGCCAGCCATCTAAGTGCAGTCCTGTCACGTTTCCCTCCATCAAGGGAGCGGTGGTGGATAAAAAAAAAAAAAGTCAGTCAGAGTGACTGTTATCTGTGGACATGCGATGCGTTCTCCCATTCGCCGGACTGCACAGGGAGAGCTGCACAGGGAGAGGTGCCGTTCATGTCAGCCCTGCTCTGTTTTCAACTGGAACTGATTTCTACACCAGCAGGGGCCCTCCTCTCTGTCCCCAGCCTTGTTAGGGCATGGAGAATATGAGATATTCGATGATGTGCCATTTGGGCATGTGTAATGCAGCGTTACGCATTGTGCAATGCCGGGTGGGGGCTGCTGTATTAGTGCTCTGGGCAAGTGTGTCTGTGCTTGGTGGTACCGCTTGATGAGACGTTGACTCATCCTGCTTCGCCTTTAACCCACTAGCCATCACCTTACTGCCAAAGTCCACTGACTCCGGCTGTGTCGCGTTACAGCTGTGCCATGGTTTTGCCTGACATTAGTGCCCGCTGGAAACATCTCAGAAGCGTTTCAGCAGCGGAGCGTGTAGCCTGCCCCACATTATTGACTTGTTATTAATTTGTCCGTTTTGTGCTTCTACTACCTTCTTTACAGCTCTCTGTGACCCTGTTTTGTTCTGCCTTCTGCAGGCTGCAAATCCCACAAGGAGCATTGCCTGCCTGATTTTGCTGACATGTTTAGATTTTGTTGATTTGGTCATTAGTGCTTGCTTTTTGTGCTTCTACTATGATTAAGTAGGCTATGTAGTTAAATTATTTCTTTATGTGTCTGTTTTAACCGTGTTTTATGTAGTTTTATGATAGGGTGTTTTATTTTGAAAATTGACAGGATTTTCTATGCCATTCTGTGTCTGACTTCCTGCCCGGAAGCTCTGTGCTCTGTTCTGCTTGATGGGGCTTCCATCAAATATAGATGCTAGTGGGATGCGGTGCGGCTGAATCTGGTGGACTTACAAGCATTGGTGGCGTAGCTGTAATGCAGAGGTTGAAGCCTATATGAAATAGTTACATATTGTAACGACAGATTCTATGAGTATAGGTGTAGCCCTCTAAGCTATGGGTGTCACTGGCTCCTTTAAATGATTTCAAGAAAAAAAGCTATTTAGGAACTGGTGGGCAGATACAAAACCTCTTCTGTGCTAACTTTCTGAAAAGAAGCTGGCTCTGTGTTCTAACACAATGAATGAGAAGTAATGTTGAGTCCTGCTTCTTCCTGAGAACTGGGCCCGCAAGAACTGGGTCGTCATAGTTGTCTATGATTTCTTTGAAAACAAGGTCAATCTGGAAGAATTCAATTGCTTCTGAAGAGACTGATCAAATTAAAAGTTTTGATAAATTTGTTTAATTTCCCTATAATTAAATAGGATGGGGATGTTTCACGTTACAAACATTACAACATTTCCTATCTTCAATACTTGCAGCTTCATGAAATTCCTACCTTTGGCAGCAAAAATAACTTGCATTATGTAAATTTTACTACAATGTACTAAGTTGTATCAGGTCAGGGTTGACTGTAAAATTAGTGGTGAAACAGCAAACTCAACAACATGTAAATCCCAGTGATCGACCTAAAAGCTGCTGCTGTGCTATTATACAACATTGAGGAAGAAAATAAAGTGCTTCTTTTGAATCATTATCAGCATTCAGAGACCAGAGAATCGAGTTTGATTCCAAGGTAGGAAAGTTATTAGCATTATATATTTTGCAGAATTTCTGTGTAGGTGGAAATGGTCTATACCTGCTTCCTAAGATCTGGCTGGACTCATTTAATCCCCACCTGGAATAAGACTGTTTTATGGAGAGTAGCCAAAATGTTTTACAAAGCCATTTCATCCCATATATATAATAATCCCAAATGGAAAGTTTAGCTGCTGTTGGTCTGTCAGGTCCATAATAAGACAGTACTAACAGTTTAACTGTTGTTTAATTTGTGCACATACATTGTTGTGAAGCTACATGTACAAATTGTGTGATAGTTTTACCTGTACAACAATATCTTTGATACATTTTAAGCTTCAAATGCATAGAAAACAGGAAAAGCCTTTAAAACTTGCTGCACATAGAGCCTTTGCATTATTCACATTCAGACAACAAATACATTGTATTTATATGCACATATCAATCCAGATGTTGTGTCATATGGATATTTATAACTGGCCAGATATAGTAAGATGTTACATGGTACATAAAACTGTGAAAACACTGCTGTTGCATTTGTTTAGTATTAGCTGCACTGTACATTTTTTCTGTGAGTACAAAATTGCACAAACTTAACCTTATATGCCTGCAGTTGCATGTAAGTCAATGTATGTTTACGCTGTTACCGTAGATAAGTCATGAAAACACTGCATTTACAGTGGCAACCCCATGCTGAACCTAAGAAATCCCATTGATCCCATTTAACATCTGTTTGCCCTTCCTATTTAATCAAACTTTCTGTACATCACATTAAGGAAGTAATAACATCAATTCATAGGATCTTTATAGTGCACACATTCGACTACACATAGAAACTTCAGTATTTGAGACCCAGAGACCAATCAGTACTTAAGGTCTAGCTACACCAGCATTTAAAACGGTGACATTTCACAGTAAAATAAATTAAGTCCAAATGGAATCACTGTGATCAGTAAATTTATGTAAATCCATGCAAATCTTTCTTGGTCTTTTGGTGAATCGACAGCAAACCGTCCTGACAGTACTTAACAAGATCAGTACTGACCAATCAGAGTTTTTAACTGTGTTACACTATCCACTTCTATTTTTAAACTAACCCTCCTCTGTTGGAGATTTTAAAGAGGAGTTGATGGCAAAAATACATCTCCTGATAATGTTGCTAATGTGTGGAATCGTCCCACTAGCGACCAAGCTAACACGCTTGCTTACTGTCTGTTAGCAAGCTAGCAAATTAGGGGATTACTGCCAAGAGGGAGTAAACAGCTTTCTAGAAGTGTTAGCAATTAGCTCACCAACTAGCCCTGCAAGTAGTTACCAAGCCTGTATTTCGGCTAATTTAGCAAGGATTTCGTCGTGTAACCCGTCCATAAGGTTGTCTGTGTCAACTATTTTGAGATGGCTTTATTTGGGAATACAAATGCACAATATAAACAAATAATGAAGGTCTAGATTTTACAGAGCCCATCTACAGGACAACGCCCCAAGACTCAACTTAGTTGATGTTCACTTTCTGTCACTCTTCCTTCCTTCATGGAAGGGTATTTCGTAATTTCGCCTTCATCTTTCTGTCAGTACGCATCACTTAATGTTAAGTGATACCAACAAACTAAAGGAGATCAGAACTCACTCTCCTCTATAATTTCCTCCATGGTCTCCCCGAGCGTTATCTCTCCATCACTACTGGACAGGCTCTTCCTGGTGAGAAAGTCAAGCCCTGTTGTGTCACAGCCCATCAACCCCTGGCCTTTAACCTCTCCTAGTCCAAGCCCCCCACCTCCTCCATGTACAGCCACCTGAAGCAGATGTGGGTGCGTTGTGGAGGTGCCACCCTCGTCGTAGGAGTAACTCTGCCGAGAGCAGTGTGGGCGGTGCACTTGAGTGCACTTCCACAGATGTTTGAGCGGCACACCCTGAAAACAGCTCCTGAACTGGAAGTGGTTGGTAAACAGAAAGAGTTGCCAGCGCTTCTTCAGTTCAGCTTGGACCTAAATTCCAGTAAGTAAAGAAAATAATTAACTGTCAGTTTCAACATGCCTTCAAAGAAGGCCACCTGTACTGCTTTAACACAAATGACTGATAAATGGATCAATTGACAAAACAAATGTTGGTGCTGTGTTGCTTGACTTCAGTGTTGCTTTTGATATTATCAACCAACTATTGCTGAAATAACTTTGGCATACGGATTCACTGCAAATGCTGTCAGCTGGAAGAATAGTTGCTGTACTTGACTAATAGAATGAAGTGTTTACTTTAATTGTTGTTTTTCAACTAAACAAATTTTGAATGTGGGGTTTCCCAAGAAAATGCCTGGGTACTTTCCTCATTTCAGTTTTACTAGTCCTACTCCCTGTTTTGATTAGAGCAGTTATGATGATGTACGCTGATGATTCAACGTTCTGTAAGTCTACTGATAGTATAGCTGAGCTAAATAAAGTTCTGCAAAGTGAATTTGCTAACTGTCTGTCATTTGGTGCTGGGCAGGTAGCTTACAGGTGGTTTGAGCATTCATTTCTGCTACTGGGAATGAGGTTAATGTGAGTGAATTTGGTTTGTGGCAAACCAAAACAATGAGCTAAAAGAGGCTAAAAAAGCCCAAACCAACAATTGACTTCTTCCCTTTTTGCCTTAAGTTCCACAATTCATAGTATACACAATTATGATTCTACAACATCCATGAAAATCACAGTACATACAGAAGAAGAAACATACCTCTCCATTAGCAAAACAGTACAGCACAGCAACCAAGAATCCCTGAAAGGTTTACAAATTACAAGTCATGTTTAATGTGGATTTAGAACAAGATGAGTTGTCAGGTATGTAATTAACTTTACAAGTGTTACCTGAAATGAGCTGAGAGTGAGGTTGACGAAGTTCCTGGCGTAGCGACTGCTGCCCTCCACGCATTCATCTATCAGCACAGTGAAGACCACTTCATGGATTCCCAGCAGAGGAATCAGTACCAGTGTTGCTCGGGCCAAGCTGAAGGGCATAAACAAAAATAAACTGTGGTGCATAATTACAGACTGTTAGGACACACACAGGGGGGAAATGGTGTAAAATGTGGGAGAAAGGAAAGCGTTGTAAATATATGCATGAGGGTCCCTCCTGTGGTGACATTTAAGGTGGAATAAAGAGGCCTGAGTTTATGTGGTGACATTTAAATTTCTGCTGTACATGGGAGTGATTAACATTTAAATGTTAATCCAGGAACCTACTGTACTGTTTAAAGACAGCACTTAGGATATAGCACTCAAGGTCAAACATGTTTGCTGACTTGGAAGCAGTTACATTAGTGAGTCAAGGCAGGTGAAAATACCTGTATCTGTAGTCTGTAAATTTCACAAGATCTGCTTTCAGCTTGGACAGCAGCAGCATTAGAATCTTGATGAATATGAAGAAAATGACCTGCAATACACATCCAATGTAGATTTATAGAAAATGCATCAAAAAAACAACAGGTGACTTAGTGGCTGACAAGATGAAATTGGCATGAAAATGTGCATCTGAGAATGCTTGTGACTACTACACTACACCTTCAATATCACATGCCCTCACAAGACAGGAACCGTTAAATGCAGTATGAAATCAGTGTGAAATTTATTGATGGCTTGCAGCAGAGGAACGAGACTCACAGGAGCAACATGACGCAACTGTAACTAACATGGTCATTAGGCTGAATAACGCTACTATGAATTTTAGAAACAAAAACTGGTTCAGAAACTTGACTTACCAGCACTGATAAAGTAATCGGACCTCTTATTATCCACCAGAACCATCTGTTCACAATTGACCAGCATCTTAGGAATGAAATAAGTGTAAAAAGTCAAGTGATGGAGAACATTTTGATTCATTTATTGTGACGTTGATAATGAAACACTCACTCTGTGTTTTCGTATAAAATCTTGACAACTGTCCATGGTGTTACAAACAAGACAGGCGTTCCTGAAAAGTAATAAAAGCATAAAAAATGCAACATGTTACCATCGGTAGATCATTCTTATGAATTAATTAATTGTTAATGTATAAATTGTGTTTGATTGTCATATCAAAATGTCCCATAGACCCTAAGCTTTGACTGGTTTGTTTATCAAAACAAGTTGATCATTCTTAAAGCCACTATGTATAGGCTTTTTGTATGACTGGCGCATCTTTGAAATTCCTCTGTGGCAAGGTTTTGTTTCTAGAAAAATAACTTCAGTGAAAACTGGTGCAATCCATGTGTTGGTTTTAGCGAATTGATCTCAGTGTTGCTGGGTTGGATTGGTGGATCAAGACAGGGTAAACATGTGGGCAAAAACTACTAGGTATTAAAAAGTATCAAAGGATAAGGCTACTGTTATCCTAAATGACACTATATTGCCAAAAGTATTAGGACACCCCTTCGAAACATTGAATTCTGGTGTTCCAATCAGTACCATGGCCACAGGTGTGGCCTGCAGACTGCTTCTGCAAACATTTGTGAAAGAATGGGTCGCTCTCAGGAGCTCAGTGAATTCAAAGGTGGTACCGTGATAGGTTGCCACCTGTGCAATAAGTCCATTCGTGAAATTTCCTCCCTACTAAATATAATATACCACAGCCAATCTGTTAGTGGTATTTTAACAAAGTGGAAGTGATTGGGAACAACAGAAACTCAGCCACGAAGTGGTAGGCCAGATAAAATCACTGAGCGAGGTCAGCGCATGCTGAGGCGCACAGTACGCAGAAGTTGTCATCTTTCTTCAGAGTCAATAGCTACAGCCCTCTAAACATCGTGTGGCCTTTGTATTAGCTCAAGAACAGTGCGTAGAGAGCTTCATGGAATGGGTTACCATGGCAGAGCAGCTGCATCCAAGTCTTACATCACCAAGTAATATGCAAAGCGTTGGATGCAGCGGTGTAAAGGACGCCGCCACTGGACACTAGAGCAGTGGCATGTTCTCTGGAGCGACGAGTCACGCTTCTCTACCTGGCAATCTGAGGGACGAGTCTGGGTTTGGCGGTTGCCAGGAGAACGGTACTTGCCTGACAGCATTGTGCCAAGTGTAAAGTTTGGTGGAGGGGGGATTATGGCGTGGGGTTGTTTTTCAGGAGTTAGGCTTGGCCCCTTGGTTCCAGTGAAAGGAACTGTTAATGCTTCAGCATCCCAAGACATTTTGGACAATTTCATGCTCCCAACTTTGTGGAAACAGTTTTGGGATGGCTCCTTCCTATTCAAACATGAATGTGCAACAGTGCACAAACACAAAGCAAGGTCCATAAGGACATGGATGAGCGAGTTTGGTGTGGAGAACTTGACTGGCCTGCAGAGAGTCCTGACCTCAACCCGACAGAACACCTTTAGGATGAATTAGAGCGGAGACCAGGCTGTCCAACATCTGTTCCTGACCTCACAAATGCACTTCTAGAAGAATGGTCAACAATCTCCATAAACACACTCCTAAACCTTGTGGAAAGCTTTCCCAGAAGAGTTGAAGCTGTTATAGCTGCAAAGGGCGGGCCAACTCTATATTAAACCCTACAGATTAAGAATGGGATGCCACTAACCTTCGGCGACTCAAAACTTTTGGCAATATAGTGTATGTTTAGTTGGTCTCTCTCTCCCTGTGTGGGGCCTTCAGCTCCAAGCCCAGCTCACAAATGATCCTTTTCAATTAAATTATTTTTAAATCAGTTGTTTTTAGCAAATGTTATTCATACAGCAGGGGAAAATTGTGCATTTGTCGGGAACTTTTTCCAGTGGGACATTAATCCATATTTGGTATTCTAGTGAGCATTTGGGAAAGCGCTGTATATGGGACTTAGTCAAAATAAACTACAGTGTATGTGTTCATGGTAATGATGTCACCCAGTGCAACATCAATGTAGCTCTATGGCACAGAGGTAGAATCAGGCTTACACACAATAATATAACAATATAAGCAGTTTTTCATGGGATTTTTTGACAAGAAATAAATATTAGGATCACTTATCCTTTAATATCAGGCGTAAATACTTTGTCACTTGGTTCAAAATTCAGGAACAATACTTCATACAGCTGTGTGTGGAGATGTGGGAATTATGAATGATGAATAAACACAAACACAAAATCATTCATTCACAGTTTACCCCATCCTAGCAGCATGTATTTCTTCAGCAGACGTCTCTTGGTCAGCACAGCTGTGAAGAGCAGCGTGTGGAGGAAAATGGCCTCCACTAAGAGCCAGAAGTAGTTACAGGCCACAAAGTACTCCATGCACACTTTGGAGACTTTACACATCAACGCTATCTGTTGAGAAAAAAAATTAAAATGAGTGTTGCGAATGGTTTAGCTGGTTTGCACTGCTTTTGTTAATTCACAGGTACTGTATATCTCGGATTCAGCTATAACAGAATCAGCAAGGCCCGGTATTTAAATATCTACTGATATGTGAATGATAAGGCAGTATGTTTATACCGCAGAGCTTGAGTAGGCGTTCCATCCAGGGTCGTCCTTGGGCAGGTTGTTATACATGATGTATAATATGATTTCCTTAGAAATGATAGCCGTGGCTCTCAGGATGAATGACACAAACAGATTCATGTGGATGTAGTTCCTGGTACAGTGGAGCTTCCTGGTAAGCAGATACAGGAGCAATTTGAGGAAGGCATTGATCCATACTTCCTGTGCAACTATAAAAACATTACTGAGAGCATATGTTATGACATAAGAGGCAATGATTAATGATCAAGCTAAATGAAACTACAAGGAAATGCTTCATGGTTTTTATAATGTCATTTGTAATGATTGATCATCCTCATAGTCTAAGTAAATATCTCTTGATGCCTCATCTTCCTTGTGGGCCTTCATCATCAGTGTAGTTACAGCTAGTGAATCTGTCCTGTGTCATTACTGAATGTCTACAGAAGCTGCATGACAAGTGAAGCAAATCTTATCACAACCAGTGTGTTATTTTCTTACATTAGCCATCATTTCTATAAGCAAATTGTTGTAATTGTAATTCATCCTAATTAAGAGGAACGATGGACAAAGCTCCCCAAATAAGACTATGTTTAATGAAACAGCGTTATCTGTTCTCTTTCTCCAACAAAATGTGCACTTTGTCTGCATGAATGTCAGAAACCCCTCGACCACCGACCTCAACATGGCCATCAGGAGAGTAGCCAGTGTGAGAGAGGACAGGGAGAGGGAATAGCCAATGACAGAGATGAGCCTGAGGGCTGTCTGGCGAAGCATTTCATCCTCCTGTACACACACACACACACACAAGGGAATTAATGGAGAGAACACAGCACCTCTTCAGATATTTCTACTGAAGAAAGACGTTTGAGGACAGTTGTCAAGAAAGCAAACCCTGATGGCTAAAGAATGGCTAAAGGTAGATGAGAAACCACAAATCACCAAACACACACCTGGATTTTCAGCTCCAACACTTAGAGGGGCTGACACTATGTCTCCTCCTCACCTTGTCTTTGAAGTAATGGTCCTCCTTACATTCTGAGTCATCCCTCCAGGGATCGGAGGAATTCTCCCTCTGTCGCCATCTCCCATTTTCTAAGCATTCTCGGTGGGCCTTCCTGGAGCTGTCTGCAGGTAAGTGAAAGTGACATTGATAGGCACGGTTTCTTCTGTCAGTGAAGTCAGAGGAGGGGCTGAGTGACTGGGCAGTTAATCATTTTAACCTGTGCTGGGAAGTTGCCTTATTATACAGCTAAATTCCAAATCGGATTGTCACTTTTCACTTTTATTTGTTTATCCAGAGGAAGTGATTCATTAAAACTTAACTGTAATATGACATCTTTTTGCAGGGTGGGACTCACCAGTGTTTTCATTGCCTCTTTTACTATATCTTGGTAGGACAGCCAGCACAGTACATGATTTTGGTTTACTGAAGTCATTCAGCAGTTTCAAATTATTTGCCAATCACTACCATTTTGGAAGTGTCTCCATGAGGCAACGCTTTCATCACTACAAAGCACCGTGCTTAACGCCAACGTCAGTATGCTCACAAATACTATCAACATATATATATATAAACAATGTTTAGCAGTTCTTCATCTGAGTTTATGTGTTAGCTTGCTAACATTTCACAAGGCTGATGGGAAGGGCATCAGTTTTGCTGGTATTTGTTCATAAACCAAAAATAAAATTTTAAAAAATAAAGATAACTAAAGTGATTATAATTCATTCTGAAGGGGATATAAATGTAATTTCATGGAAATCCTTTAGAAAGTTGTTGAGATATTTCTGTCTGGACTAAAGCAGTGGACCAGCCTCCCGCCCAAAATTGCCATCCCTAGAGCCTAGCATGACTAAAACCTAATTAGAGACAGAAGATTAGATTAAGTTCTTCTCCATAGCTGCAGCTGGCACGGCCAATGGCTACTGCTTCCCATTTAAAATATGACTGTGCAATTAAGTGCACTGTTAAACACGTAACCTGTGACCAGCTCGTAGAGCATCTTGTGATTCACTCAGTGATTGATTCGCCTAAAATAAATAAATAGGCAAAAAAAAGTCTGAATAGTACATGGTAAAAGCTACAATGATTTATTTATTTGTGACCTCATACAATAGTTGCTTTTGAAGCAAAGTGGTAAAAGGTAACATTACCCTCGCTGATCCATGGTAAGTAAGAAGGACAGGGGGCCGACACATTCCCAGGAGATGAATGGGGCCAACACACAAACATGTCAAACGTTCCTTTACAGTAGATCCCTGTAAAACAAGAATAATAAGGATTTCATAGGTAATAACAATCAAGATAATTAACATAAGAACACTTGACGGCTGTCTTACCATTTTCTGAGAGTGTGCTTGTTGCCAGAGTTCTGTTGCAGTTCTCCCAGTATGCGGTCCGTTTAGCTATCAGGCTTTCAAGGACTGAGCCTGTTACCTGTATTTAGAAGAAAGAAGTGAATGCTGGCAACTGTACATACAAGATTATCATCAAGCTGATCCTATAAAACGGTGATAATCTGATTGATCGTTTCATTTGTAGTTCCTCCCTACATATGAATATGCAGCCCTTTGGAATACAGCTCAGGAACTGTGGATCCATCACTTCAAGTCACTCCTTTCCTCATAGTAATTTGATTCATTATTTATTTGAAAATACTGAATAGTAAAGTTTTATTATTTTGTCTTAACTGAACCAGTAGTGACTTTAAATTGTTCATTAATTGTTCAAATGTGAAACTCACTGAGTGAACTTAAGCAATTAGGTTGAAACAGTGACCGTTTTGATATATTGTGTAGAATGGCTAATCATGCAAGACCTCCAACCTAATCAATACATTATTCGTCAGTCATGGCAGAAGTGCTTTGGACAGAAAGAGTATGGGGTGTTCCTGTCTTCATATACTGTAGGTTTGCATTGGTTTAATTAAGATACATGTGACTAATTTCAGATACGTGTATGAAAAGACACTGTAAAAAGCCTCTATTTAAAGAAAGGGCACTTTAAACCCAAGTGCGATGCATTCTGGGAAGTGTGCTATTAAGCTAACAAGGTTTGTAAACAGCTTAATTTGATAACAGTCTTATCTATGAAATTGATATAACAATATAGAATGATTCATTTAATTAGATTAATTCTAAGATTTTACAGTGTGTTCACTCACCAACATATTTTACTGTATCTGCAGCCTCTGAATTGATGTGGTGAGCAGTGGATGTTGCAGTATTTGTATTTACCCACTTGGTGGGAGTGTTTAATAAGGACCACCTTCACTTGCCGAGGGGACATGTTCACCTGTGTATAATCTGTAGTTGATAGAGGCAATTTATCAACCTGGCTTTCTGCATTAGTGTCTTGTCTGCAGCAATGCAAACACACCTCTCTATTTATTCTTGATGTTCAAATGATATGAGCAGTCTGTGGGTGTGTCCCTGACTAAAGGTTATTGTATTTGACATCATATTAATCAATGCACAGTCATAAATAATGATTCTTCCTTAATTTGCTGTCATTAGTGAGATAAATTAGCATTTCCTTTATTTTAAGACGCAAACTGCAAACCACAGCTTCCATCTCTGTCATTCATAATTCAGTGACCGAGCCGAGGACAGCAGCTCTCCTATCTCGGCCAAACAGTCCCAATCTTCACACCCCAGTGGGAAAGCTGCTGAACTCTGCAACCTCTTTGTGTCCGTTTGCCTGCCACCTGTGCCACAACGATTTCTCATGTGAGCTGGCTGACAGAGGACATTTCAATTCGCCGAGGCTTGTCTTGTCAAGAGCCTGTCCAGAGTGGTATCCCCACTGAGGGAAAGACAAGATCTGCTGTCTCCCAGTCTTCTCTGCGGTCTCCCATGAGACTGAGCTTGCTTCAAATCCTGCCACAGACGTAACTCCCTTGATTATTCACTTTATTATAACACTGAAGACGAAAGTGAATTTGCTTGAAACTTTTATGTGGCCGTGATCTTGTTTGTCTTATATTGTTAGCGTTCCTCTGCTTTTTTTTCTTTCTTTCATCCCTCTCATTTAATTTTCAAAATAGATACCAAGTTGTTTTTAAAGCATGTCACAAAACTTGAATTTTCAGGCAATGAATTCAGAAGAAGATACTGCAAAACAAGCACATGAGCAGTGGGACCTCCTTTAGCCCAAATACCAAATGAAAAAAGAACTAATTTAAGATGAAAAGCATCCGCTACAATCTGTATTTTTTATTTCGCTGCAGTCACTGTAAGCTGGGTGTTTGCTGTGTTGCTGTGTGTCATGAGAAACACGCTGTGTTATATTGCCTCATACAGCAATTCAGATGGAGAATTATTTTGTGAAGCTAAGACTCTTGACTCGTCTGTGTCTGTGTCAGACAGCACCAAGTTTCACTGTGACTCGCTGTAAAGTACAAAGCTAAGTAATGCTAAGAATGTGAAGAAGTTAACCAAAAGGCCTCCTGTATGTTAAGTTTTAATTTACCTGGTGGTCGAAGATAACAAAGAAGAGTAAAAGCAGGAATGTGTGTCCTGCTGTGGTCCCGGTCCTCTTGTGCCAGAATGGCAGCTGGGTTGGCATGGTGCTGTGTGTTTACATTGAAAAGCAGGTGTTTCTAGTTTCTCAGCAGGTTTGCTGCCTCTCACCTCACCGCAGCACTCAGGCCCCTAGCTCATGCTTGCTTTATCTCCCTACGCACACTCAGCACGGCTCTCCTTGCCTTGCCATGTCAGGTATAGTTAATTTGAACTTGATCTCCTTGCAGGTAGCTCCAGAAAATATTCAGAATTTGATGGATGAATTTGGAGGATGAGTTGCAAGAACAGAAAATGTTATCCCACAGTTTCCCTAATTTTCCTCAAAATCTTCTTGATCTTTTCCATGAATTTTCCAAGAATCCAAGCAACTTTATGGTTCTTTCAATGAACTGATCTTTGACGGAAAAAGTTACCTCCTAATGAGAGATTTTATTCGGAGGGTTATCTCAGGTGAAGAAGTCCTCGGCAGCAGTTCCAGTCTTCCTGTCCATGAAGACCTCTCTGTGAAGGAGGTGGATCTGTCTGTTCTCACTGTAGATGCAGCACAACTGAGAGCGCCTGGGGATCCTCAGATCGCCTCTCCCATCTCGTACTCCCCTAACCAATCAAGATATGGCCCAGGAAGAGACGGCTACATAAATGGACTAACTTTGTTGTCCAGGAAAACTGATCACACAGGAGCAAATGGCATAGTGGCTAGGTCTAATGTACCAACAGACGCTAATATATTAAAAAAATACCATACATGCAGACACAGACCAGCAAATATCACCTGTACTGCAGACAGAGAGGGAAGGCACTGATCCCTCCCTTCTGTTTAGCAGTCTCGCATCAGGGCATTACCCAGGATTTCTGACACTAATGGGGATTTAGTGTAAACTAACAGCACTGAAGCTAAACAAAGGCCAGCAAATGGGCGAGCAGAAAGCCAAAGCTCCCTGCACAAGCCTCAGGCCTGCATGACGCTTGTGACTCTCACTACACATTTTCAGCAAATCTTTTCAATCTATAAGTTTGTTAGCAATTTAGATTTAACCAGTCTAACATTAAAAGGAAAAAACTGCAAATTGACAGAAAGTTTTCTTTTACAGCCACAATGAAAATAGTTGTTTCCTTTTATTAGTTATTAAAGCTGCATGAAAAGATTTTTGGGGGTGTGGAACAAGCTAAAAAATAGAGACCAAAGTTGTTTTGGCTAATGTGCTAGCAAACAATTCCTTATTTAAACATCTAGCAGATACAGAGCAACATAGCATTTATTTGGAGTCATGAACTCCATGGACTCCTGAATGGAAGTCCAGTATTCGCTCCTTCTTTAGCTGTTTTGGAACTTGTAGCTGCTACATTCATCAGCTTGTTAATAACTTTGTCTGTCGGACATTGGGGCTGGGCAGGTATCATATGGAGGTTTAATTAAAGGGTTTTTTCACTGAAACCAGACAGTTACGTTTTCTAGCTGGAAAACTAGCATAATTAGCTAGCCAGAGTTTGACAGGCCGAAAACCAATAGAATTAGCTAAAAGAGGAATAAAAGCTCCACAGAGCTGCAATATTGGGTGACATTTATTTGTACGATCAAGCAACACACTTCGCATTACTCACAACCCTAACCAAAACAACATGGTCTAGCACTGAAAAGCTAATAGCAGCTAATATCCAATATGAATCATGGGAAATATCTTGGATTCCACATTATTAAGATGAAAGTTATTAGAAGACAAAAGCAATATGAAATATGAGGAGGCAGGTGAAATGAAGAGACATACTTTTGAACTGAATGCGCAAACCTCAGTGATGCATCATGTGGAATTGTGTGTTTTTATTACATGGTGATATAGCTTTCAAACGTCCCCGCGAATGTGACAGAATCCATTGCAGAGAAAATATATAGCATATTATTGCGTTTCAAGATCTCATAGTGCACCAGTCCTGCCATTATTTGTGACTGTGATGTATGAATGAACCGGTGAAATTAAATTTTTCCCCAGCTCCATAAGCATGAAAATATATGGCTGCAACAGGCCCATATGTCCACATTGTGTGTCTAATAAACAGAGAGTAAAGATGACTTTTAGGACAAGGGAAACATACATACTTATTTTTATATTGTAATTTGAAAAGATTCAAATGGGAATAAAGCATTTTGTAGCAGACATGGCCTCAGGGTGCTGCTAATATGGTGGGATTCTCATTTCACTCAGAAGTGAAGAGGCTGAAGAGGCTGTCAAGGAGTTAATGTGAGAGTTCAAGTGTGGCCATTTGAAACCTGCATAAACCTTTTGATGGTGGAAACCTCTCTCAAGGTTCTTGCTCTTTTGATTATATTCATAAGAGCTTCATTAGATGTAAACACAAAGGACTACAGTTCAGTGAAGCATCAATATTTTCATATAAACAAATTGACGATGTTAATGTGAAAGAGTCTGCTTATGATGAACCCGCTGAGAATTAGCATTTACTCTGCAGTTCCCTTCAGCTCTGAGTGTTTTAGCATCTTTCAGCAATTGTTTTGGTTTTACTGCCGACACCTTTAGTGTTTTGGATCAGTCTCAATTAGGGTTGGGTAGGGATACCGATACCAATAGAGTCTTTCATTCGATACCTTGCATAAAATTCCACCTGTTGTAGCCATAGTAGTTGATTAGTAGCCTATTATTATATTTTATTGTTATGGACAAGCAAGGTTATCTATTTTATTTTTTCTTCATAAAAATATTGGGAAATTACGTGTGTTGAAAGTAAACAATGGAAAAATCTTTTGTTAACTTTCAGTCAATAAACTGAATTGAAAGATCTCTGCGAGTGTTTTTTCCTTTATTGGTGAGTCGCAAACCTCCAAAAACAACAGTCACAAGTATAAAACAAGAAAGGAGTCTGTTTAAAGAGGTCACTAAACTACACTAAAGACATAAACAGAGGAAAAGAGAGGCTGCATGTCCAGCCGATCAAATTCCCAAAGGACTTAGTGGAGACTAAAACAAAGCTGAAAGACTAAATATTGGAGTTGGTGGACAGAGTAAACTAAAGAAAGTGCTAAAACTGCTGTGTGTTTGCTTGGTGTATAAATACAGCAAGCAACTGTTTACTAATGTGAAAGTCGGACAGCAAATGGAACCTTAACTGATAAAGTCAACACAGTTCTTTATTTCTAATCTGACGCTAAGGGCCGCTAGTTTGGCAAGATGCCCTGGACAGAGTGTTCTGTCCTTACAAAAGAATGAGGAGCAACAGCAGTAATTGTCTTATGTGATTTTTAACCAGTGTTTATTTCATATCAAGTTAAACAAAGTTACTACACCTCAGTACCACTCACTCATTTTGTACCACTGGAAAAGCACAAGTAGGCAATCTAATCCCACTTCAGTTGTTTCATACCAAACAGTACAACACTCAAGTGTTTTCCCATGATATCTGGGTTAAGATGTTTATACATAAATATGTATATATGATTGTCTCGAGAGATAAACACACAAGCCAGACAACAGAACAAAACAAAAGCTCAGGACTAAAATTAAGTTTCCTTCTATGTCCTTCATGTAGGGAGAGGAGCATAGGACTGATTCATTTTTGTCTTAATACTTCTTACAAGATACTATATGACGTATTTTGCCAGTTTGATGATCTGCAAATAGCCAACTTTTATTCCTCCGAGACTGTATGAGAAATGTTATTTTCATAATTTCATGTAAAGCATATCGCATAAGTTAAGTTTTATGTCAAGAACCTATATAGAATATAGGTTTCTACACCTTCTATTCTGTTCTCACCAGATTTATTTCAAACAACTCTTGACATCAAATAATGAAATGTAGGATGTTTGGTTTGGTTAAAAAAAATTGAACATTAAGTTTATTTCATCACCACAAAATAATAACATTAATAGTTGATGTCATAAGTAACGTACGTCATGCAACACTGAAAGTTGTAAAACCAAAACAATGAACTGAACGACACTGAAACACTCCCTAAAACCGTCTAACAAAAAAATCTTGTTTTTGATACTCCGAACAACCCTATTTACATCACATGTAGTCATTTGATTAGTTGTTAATATAGAAATACTGAGTAGTGCAGCTTGAAATTTCCTTGTGTTGTAAGGCCTGTTGCTTGTTGAGAAAATATGTTAAGGACTGTAAAGGTCATAAATCATGTATCAGAGTTAACTCCATCTACGAATGCCACAAAATGAGTGATGAACTCACCAAGGAATGTATGACTGCATGCATGTGTGCTAAATATGTTAAAGGAAATTCAACTTTTATATTGTTTCACCTGATTATGTACCACTGATTTGTGATATTCACTGCATTCCAGGGGTCATGGTCGAATAAAGTATTACCTGCAAGTATTATCTGCCTTTGTTAACAACTTTTCCCAGAAAGTGTTTTGACAACCCCCACAGGAGGGTTAGAAACGTGTCGTTTCGATTATAGATGAACACATGGGCTCATAAATAAAGCTAGTTATCCAGCTAGTTTCTCAACACGTATTTTCTGGTTGCATTGCACTGGTCTGTTGGGGTTACTGTTGGTGGAGAGATAGGCATCTGTGCTTCTTGACAGTTTTTTAGTGGTGGTAAAGGCTTCCAGTTTAGATTTCAACTTTAAAGGTCAGGTTGCACTGACCTTTAAACAGCAGGTGAAAATGTCCATAAGGTTGAAATATTATTATGTAATATATTCTGTTTTCCCATCAATACAATTGAAGTCTATTATGAATGTATTACATAAATTCCCCCTAAGCTGACACAGAAAGCCATCAATTCAGGGAGTGAAAGTTGAAAGAGGTCAGCCACATTAACATGCCTGCATGTATCTCCTCACTGCACCCCACCTCAGTGCAGATCCGTCCTTAGATAATGTGGAGGGTGGTGTTCTTACAGGTATTAGGTAAACACAGCACTGCAAATGTTTACGATCTCCTCCACATGGGTTAGAAAGTGTTTAGCGGACAGGACAGGTGCTATGTGGAAGGTTAAATGGGTTGCGGTGTCTGCGCGTAAACTGTTTGGTTCTCTGATGCCTGCAGGCCTGCCCTGCTGTGTTTGGGAGTTGGAGCATTGGCCATTTTTCAGTTGAAGAGTATAAACATTTCTTGGTAAAGAGGCAGCCTGGTATGAAGATGCTAGAGAGGCATTAGCTGACTAAATAACCAGAAAACACAGATAGTTGGATTATGACCTGTTAAGTAAACTTCGTGAATTGACTAATATTCCAATTAAATCATGTCAGTGAAATTGACATCTGCACTCTTGTTGTGCAAACTGTACAGTGTACATTTGTTTGTACATGTACAAATGTGTATGCTGCACATATAGAACCTGTGTATGTGTCTTCCATATGTTTACATTCTTGTTGAGAAAGAGTTACGGCAGGGTGGGGTGGGGGGATTGCAACTCTCAGCCAGAAAAACAAACAACCTGAGGGCCATTGAGAGAGCCCAGAGCGGCTCAGGAACATCCTGTCCACCGGTCTGCCTGGGTCAACACCAGACACCGCTCCAGGCACCACATCACTCCACTGCCAAATAACAGCATCAGAACAACGTCAATGTGGTATACGACCCCCAGGCCCAAGGTTGTGCAAGGAGGAAATCACTGTTTTCTCTGATTCCAAGCAAACGGCTTCTTACAGGAGAAATCCATGGCATGAGCTTTAGGTTAACTAAGGCTTTTCAGCTGCATGTTTTCTTTAAATCTCATTTGCCAGTTTTCCAGGTTTTCACAAATAATTTTGTCACTATCTGATCAAAACCAAATACAGGTTTTCAAGCAAATATTAACTGACATAATTAACAAACAAATATTTTAAAAAATAGTTAAAAAATATA